CCCATAACAATATCTCATGCAGGCCTGCTTCACGGATCTGTGCCGGGAAGGCACAAAGGCCAGTGGTGGAAGCTAGAAAGTCTGTGCCAGTGGGATGAAGGGTCTGTGTTAGCAGGCTGAGGGATCTACACTGGAGCCAGGAAGCAACGCTCAAAGTAAGAACCAGAGCTCCCCTGGAAAGTACCACAGCCGTTCTCAGCAACAGTGAGGTCCTGAGCTCCTCCGATGATCAGGAAAGGTGAGTTCCCATCAGAAAAGCCATGCTACAAGCTTCTCCAAGAGACTGGCAGTACACCATCTTCCTGTCCAGAACCAGAAAGCAATGCTCAAAGTGAGGACCAGCGCTCCCCCAAAGTGAACCGAAGCTATTCTCAGTGCCAGCGAGGCCCCGAGCTCCTTGGAGGGTGAAAACAGCCAAGTTCATCAGGAAAGCCAGCATGACAACCTCCTCCGAAAGAACCAACAGTTCCTTACGGCTTCTACCAGTTCCCAACAGCCCTTTATCTGCTCCCAACAGCCTTATTTCTTCTTCTTCTCCAGTTCTGCCTCAAATGCTGCTGGCAACAGTCCTCAGGTGGGCCTCCCACACCCAGCACCACACTTAGTTCATCTGGGCGTTATAAGTTGACCACCAGTTGTCAGTCCACCCCATACAGAAACCTGGCATTAGACATGGAGCTGTGCCCCTCATAGCAGAATTAGAAATGTTGATTTGAATAAGAGCGATGGTGGTGGACTTCAAGAGCGTTTGACTTTTTTGCCTGGCGGTGGTTTCTGTCCTGTGATAGTGTGTTGAGCTATGGGCAGCAGCAAAGGCAGCCCTTTCTGAGTGGCCGGTCCACCGAGGAGAGTGACTGCGGCTCTGCTGGCCAGGCAGGCTTCCCGAAGCTCTGCTGCCAGGAGCCTGCTCGCCTCACTTACCTCTCCCCTCCAAGCTGAAGCTCTCTCCCGAGTAACATGTCATTAGCATGTTTTGCATGAGAATGAATGAGCGAGCCAACCTGAATATCAATTACCAGGACCCTGGATGCAGCTGCCTTTCAGGGTTCCTTTGTGTGGCTTCCCTCCCTGCCCAGGCACTTGGTGGATACACAGAATCCTTAAGCCATCTCCTCTCACTTTCTCTGTCTCTGGACCTGCTATGAAGGTTGTTTTTTGTGTTTTAAATCCTTAAAAGTACAGAAAAGGGATATACCTATAAGCAGAGACACAGGTCTAGACATAATCACAACACAGACACCTATGCAGCACACACGTTCCTGCGTGATGAATTTAGCAGGTCAAATCCGGGCTGTTGTGTACAATGTGCAGTAGATTGCAGGCACCCGTGCACACCCAGTGGCAAGTGGAAAGCAGCTACATTTATTGGAGACCTTGGGACGTGCTGCCCAGGGCAGGTCCGTGCTGGCAAAAACAGGGCATGAGCAGAAAATAGTGCGGGATGACAGGAAAGTACAAAGCATTGTGCAGTGCACACAGAACACAGCGCACAGATAAGCCAGGCTTTTGGAATTGAAGGCTGTGCACCTCAACCCAGGTGCCTCCCACTGAGTTTCTAAGTATGATTGATAGGAATGATTGACAGGGTACTGTGTCATCTCACAGGCTGTCAATATGCATGTCTGTCCCAGAATTCACTGTGCTCTTAATTATATTTATGAGATGTAGTACATATTGATGAACCCTTAATAAGGTTTGAGTAGGGTGAAGGAGGAGGCTGAAGAAGGTCAGGCCTGGAGACTACCACCGGGTGCTCTCACCTAGAGTAGCAAAGATCGCCTGGGTTTTGTTATGTTATTCTCTACCTCTCTTAGAACAGTGGAAGGACTATGCGTCTAGGGTGCTCTTCAAACTCAAGTGGGTGGAAGGGAGTGATGCCCTCAACTCTATTTATTGTTCTGTCTGCACTCCGCACACACACCAGAATGCAGGCCTGTGTGTACATAGCACACACATCTCTTCACATACACAACACAGGCACACATGGAGCATATATTTATACACATATAAACATACACAACACAGTCATAGAGCATACACACCTATGTCCCATGCACACATAATCATTACCCACATCTACACAGTTCTTTCTTGGAGCCTGTTAGATACAGATTGGAAGACGAGCCCAGCAGCACCCCAGATCCCCATTTTTTAGTCCTTTCAAATCACACATGTGTCTAGCCAAACAGAGGCACTTTATTTTATGCCATATTGAAGCTCATTTGATTTTCTGTTAATATGGTGTGGTAGCTATTGAATAACAGGCAGATGCCAGGTATCTTTAGATGGGTCTGTGGATGCTGGGCTTCAGAGCTATAATAGGAGGAAAACAAATCCGGCGCACCTCCACTTGCTGTAAGGAGAATCTGTCATCAGTTTGACAGTGTACTAATGTCATCCTCTGTCTTGTGGCTAGGCAGCTCCTCAACTGAGTGTTGTCCTCTGAGCCGTCCATTGTTGTATCTGAGTTGTTTTGATAAAACTTTAAGGTAGGTATTTATGTGAGTAATAATACACACAAGAAATCAAACCTCCGAGGGTTGGATTGGTATCCCCCTCAGCTCTTCTGTCTGGTGGTGCTGATAAAATACATGATGAGTTCCTGGGAAATGTATTCCCGATTCTTGTGCACAACAAGCAGAGAGTTGCCAGTTATGCACGTGATGGTAAAGAAAAAGAGTGGTTACATTTATGGAAGTTAACAGGGCAAGGTGCACTCAGAATGAGTGGGTCTGTGCCAGCAGAAATGGGAAAAGGGTCAGTAGCAGGGAGAGAAGTGGCACAGGGAACCCAGGAGATGAGGAATGGAATAGAGGTGCGTAGGCTTCTGGATTTGAAAACGTGTGCCCTGCCTAAGGTGCCTGTCATTACACTTGTGATTTGATTGACAGAGTACTGAATCATCTCAGTTGTATCTGCTGTGAGCGCATGACCTTTCCCATAACTGACGGGGTTATAATTACACATGGTATGCAGCCCATATGTATGAACCGTTAGTGAATTTTGAGTGAGGAAAAGTGACTATAGATCACGTCTGTGTGTTCTGACACACCCTTCCTGGCCTAGAGCTGTTGGGATTTCCTGGGTCTTTGTTATTCTTGGCCCAGGGCCTGTTGCTCGAGTTCAGGTGAAGGAAGGGGGTGTGTCTCATGCCCCAGTTGTGCTGTCTCTCTGCGGTGGAGATGCAGGGGAACTTGGCACCAGGCCTGGGCTTGTTCTGTGCTAGAGCATCCATAACCCTAGACGAGACAACCCACTCCCCGCCCACACCGGGACATAAAGACTGGCGTCCACCAGGCACTCTGTTCCCAGTGTTAGAGACCCCATCTGTAGCACTGAGACTACCTCCTATCATCTCCAGATGGTGCCAAGGCCTGAGGTCAGAGGCAGGTGCATCTGAAGGCCTGTGGCCGGCCCTGGAGTGTAACTCCTCCAGTGCACTGGGTATGACGGGGCATCCTCTGTTCTGCTTCTTACTGAGTAGGTTGCATCTTTTCTTGGTGCTTGTGTTTGTCTCCTGGGTCTTCATGTGCTGCCTCAATAGGATTCTGTTGATGAGTCATTGTGCTCTCCCCTCTGGAGGTTGAATTCAGCACTTGCATCTGAGGCAAGTGCTTTTCTACTGAGGTACACTCCAGTGCTCATATGGCATTGGAAGCGATGGACAGGCAAAGGTGCAGCAGGCTGACTTGCGCAGGTTTCATAGTTGGAGCCCATGCACTTGTGCAGTGCCATGGATAAGCACACCTATGAAGCCTGCACACGTGGGGGCGGGGCGCATGTATGTAAGTGTGTGCACATATGTGCCATGAGAAGATTCACAGGTCATAACTGCTTCCAGAAGAAGTGACCTTTTTCTTATCATAGCATGCTTATTGGATTTTTTTTTTTTTTCTGTACTGGGAATTAAACCCAGGGCCTTACGCTTGCCAGACAGGCACTGTACCGCTGAGCTGCATCCCCAGCTACCCTGTTGGATTTTAAAAATTTATGATGAATTGCTTTCTGGCTTATGTAAAAAAGATATACCCCAGTGTATATGGTGGTTTCCTAGAAGCAATATGAAAGTATCGCAACTTGAACTAAATAGTTCTGAATGTAGCTGTAAATTTCCATGTGGTTTTCTACAGTTTTGTGCAATTTTTTAAACTAGAAGAACCTAGTAGGTGGGTATGTGTGTATCTGCCTCTGATGTGTATGTGTGAGTGTGTCTTGATTCATATCTCATCTTCCTTGAGTAACACACCACTTACGGCGGTGTCCTGTTGTCTGATGTGAGTTAGGAATGCTGCCTTGCATTGTGGAGACAAGTCTGGGGAAGCATGTATGGAAGTAACTCCTTTAAGTGACTCAGAGGGATTGTGAAGATGTGGGTCTAGTCCCACACAGGTGTTAAGGCAAAATTTGGGTTGTATTCCACAAGAGACCGACTCTATTGAGAACAAGACAGGGTTTCATTTGAGGCTAGCCACCCTGCATCCCTGATTTGCAAATCAGGGAAGTGGGCATGGGCCTGCCTTTGTTTCCACCTTATATACGTTTTTGGTTTCCGTGGTAACAGATTGGAATGTTGTATCCCTGGCCACACATTGTTTTCCTTGTGCCATGTGACCAGGTCAGGCTCTGGTCATGAGCCCAACCACAATGATACATGCTTTCTGTACTCTGATCTATATGTCCCCCTTTAGATAACCATACATTTCCTTATGGTTACCATGTTTATCTAGGGCCAGGGAAGGGATGAAACCCAGGCAGGGTCATAGGTGGTTATCTGGGCCCGGGTGTTCTTTGTCTTTGGAGAATCATTCCAGGAATAAGTCAGGACTGCAAAGTTAATTTTTTACACCCCCTCTGGGATGTTTCTCAAGACACACTTTGAGGCTTGCATTAAGACTAGAATTATTCTATCTTAAAATGGTATGCTAAGAGTCGCCATCCCCTACACAAGGAGAAAGTATCTGTTGGAACCTGTGGCTGACTTTTATTTATTCTTCCTCTAGACAAGCAGATGCCCAATGTCCTGAGGCCAGTCCAGCGGCACGGCAGGACCCGCTGAAGCAGAGTGCACTGCCCCTGTCCACGGTGTCTGGCACGGCTCCTGAGTTGCCCGGAGAGGGCCGGGGTCGAGCAGGGACCCTGCCCCGAGATTATAGGTACTCAGCGGAGAACGCGCCTGCAGATTTGACATTACAAGCACAGGGTATCCCCTCACCCCTGCCGGTTCAGGGACAAGACTCGTGTCCAGTGAGTACCGCCGCGCCCCCCAAGAGACCAGCCCCGCAGAGACCTCCGCCCCCCAAACGTGAGCCCCGGAAGCACAGGGCCCCGGACGCTACACCCGCAGATGCTCACCCGGCTGTCCTGCCACCTGCATCCCTGAATGCTGCTGTGACCTGCCTGTCCCTCTCCTGCAGCCCCTCTGTGTCTAGCAGTGCCCAGCCGCAAGACGCGCCCCCGAAGGCCACCGCCTGTGAGCGTGACAGCCAGCATGTGAAAGAGGACACGCCGTGTCTTCGACCAGAAGCACTGCCCTCTTCCAAGTTCCAGCACCTGCAGGTGTCTGCCATGGAAACCTCTCGCTCCCCCTCGCCTCAGTTTGCCCCCCAGAAGCTGACGGATAAGCCGCCCCTGCTCATCCATGATGAGCATTCAACAAGGTATTGTCCTGCTAGGGGCGTCCCGTGCACACCTTTTCTGCAGGCGTGATTTCACACAGCTCTCCTGGGTGGCCTATGGCTGGTACCTTGCTTCAGCCTAGGACACTGGATTGAAAGCCAGTCCTGGCCGGGCGTGGTGGTGCCCGCTTGTAATCGCAGCACTCGGGAGGCTGAGGCAGGAGGATCATTGTGAGTTTGAGACCCTCCTGGGCTACCAAGTGAGCTCAAGGCCAGCCTGAACTGCATAGTGAGACCATGTGTTGAAAAGACAAAAGAAAGCCAGTCCTGGAGGAGAAGCATGACTCCAGTGATAGGCTGGAGCTCTCACTGTCCTTGTCCCCTGAGGATGACTGGTCTTTTCCTGTGAGCTGAGTGTATTTATATCTGTGTTACCCACAGGTATCTGCAGACCTGGTGTGTGGCGTTTTTTAAATCGTTTCACATTTATGATCAGAATCAGGTCCGCCCTAAGGTGTACACTTCACATCTTTAGGTGAAGTTGAGGTTTACATAATGTCCAGTGTTTTCATATTCTTTTTTCCCCTCCTGCTTTAACAACAACAACAAAAAAGTTAAAAGCCAGCTGGGATTGGCATGTTGGTGGATGCCTGTGATCTGATGCAGGAGGACTGCAAGCTTGAGATCAACCCAGGTTATATATTGAGTTCAAGGCTGGCCGGGAGCACATGCACCACAGTGTGTTTGGATGAGGGGAAGTCTCTCTTACTGACAGAATCTTCCCTCTCTTCCGTGAAATCTTTTACCCAGATCTCAGGATCGCAGATAACTTCCACACCACCTGCGGCCAGGGACTTGCTCCCTATCCTCCCCTTCACCACGCTCCTCTTTCTGTCCACCAGTGTCGTCCTCCCCCCCGCACCCCGCCCTTCTCCTCCTACACCTTTCCTTCTTTCTTTCATCTAGGCTGGCCTTGAATTTCCTCTATAGTTCAGGCTGGCCTCAAACTCTCACTTGTCCTGCCTTAGCCTCCTGAGTGCTGGGATTATAGGCATGAGCCATTGTGCCCTGCAAAAGCTAGAGGTTTGATTCCTCTCAGAAGTGTTCTTAGGCGTGTTTTTTGGTTTCTGTGTCTGGGAGAGTATGTGAGCAGAAGGCAGACAAGGCCCCTTAGGACAGAATTATCATTAGCACTGGTTGGCACTGTGTAGCTTGGGAGACCCAGAAGGGCAGGCAGGGCCACAGATAGCAGCATGGTGTTTGTAGAGCTTTGGACTGTGCAGTGCAGGTCCACTGACCTGCAGGAGGCTTGTGCTCTGGGAGGAGGTGCATCACCTCAGCGGGCCAGGCTGGCAAGGCCCTGCCTTTACCTGCCCCTGTCCTGTTTTCTGATTATGAATTGGTGATCTGGAAGCAGTGAGCTCTAATCTCCTGTATTTTACTCTCCACCCAACTTTTAAAGGTGGAAGTCTCGACCATTTTTAAGGTGAGAGATCAGTTTGTGTTTAGAAATGGCCAGGAAAGGCTGGGGACGTAGCTCAGCGGGGGAGTGCTCGTCTACCATATGCACAGCCCAGGATCCCATCCCCAGCACCATGGACAGATGGATGGATAGATAGGTAGGTAGATAGATAAGTAGATGATGGATGGATGGATGAATGGATAGATGGATGATGGATGGATGGATGGATGGATGATGGATGGATAGATAGGTAGATGGATGGATGGATAGAATGATGGATGGATAGATAGATAGATGATAGATGATGGATGGATAGATAGGTGGATGATGGATGGATGGGTGGATGGATAGATAGATAGATAGATAGATAGATGATAGGTGATAGATAGATAGGTGGATAGATGATAGATGATGGATGGATAGATAGGTGAATGATGGATGGATGGATGGATAGATGATAGATGATGGATAGATAGGTGGATGATGGATGGATAGATAGATGATGGGTGGATGGATAGATAGATAGATAGATAGATAGATAGATAGATAGATAGATAGACAGAAAGAATAAAGGTGTCCTGCTAAAAGATATATGTTAACCTGTGGAAGATTTGTTCTTGTTACTTTTTCTCTGTTATGCTTTCCTTCATTGGAAATCAGATTTCTCCACCAATGAGGAAGGATGAAAATCCAAGCAGAGTTAATGGTCAGTCATAGGTGATCTGGGTTTCTAAGTGCAGAAAGAAGTGAATGCAGAAGTTTTTGTTTATTAATTTGTTCTTGCTTGCCTAAGATGCCTGTGCAGGGTTTGGCTTTTTAAGCTCAGTGTGTCTAAGCAAGATTTTTCAGAGGTGGACCTTCTAAAGCCTCTTTCAGGAGGAAGGAATTGTGTCGATCATGTAAGGATGCCCAGGTAGAGCAGATCAGCTCTGAGTGTATCTCCAAGAGAGGGAAGAAAATAGAGAACCGTTTCATTTCAGCACATGCACGGCACCCCGATGAGGAGCTAGAGCCATCCTGTGTCCCTCTAAGTGGTCCAGTTAAAGGGTGAAAACCAGCATTTCACTGAGAAAGGAATGCTGTTCATTACTTATTTACTGCAGCTTCCCTCGACCCAGGGAAAACTGGGTCCATCCCCGTTCCCGAGTTTGGGCGTCTCTCTTTTTTCCCTTCTGAGACCAGCAGGTGGCGCTGTTGCTTCCCTAAGTCCGGTGCAAACAGCCAGTCCAGACGGCCTGGCCAAGCCACTGTGCCGAGTTGTCCTAGGCAAGGCATTGGGGTACTGACGGGGCAGTTTCTCTGCATTTTTCTCAGTTCCTTGTGAGTGCATCAGATGCCTCCTTGACCCCTTTCACCAAGGAAGTTGTTTTTTGAGACAAAGTCTCAATATGTAGTTGAGGTCTTAAACTCACTGGCCTTGAACTCACTATGTAGCCCAAGCTGCCCTTGAGCTTGTGCTCCTCCTGCCTTGGGCTCTTGAGTGCTGGGATTACAGGCCTGTGCAGCCACACCTGTGCAGCAAGACCTGTCTCTTTAGCCAGGCATGGTGGTTTATGCCTGTAATCCCAGCACTCAGGAGGCTGAGGCAGGAGGATTGCCACGAGTTGGAGTCCACTCAGCCACACACAGCCCTATCCATACAAGCCCTCCAGAGGTTATCCAGACCTCACTGCACATCTCCTCTACTAGAAAAGTTTCACTGGGTAGAACTTGTCGCTATCTGCATTATGATTGGGATAAAAACAAGTAAATATGGCCCGACGCTTTTTTTTTGTTTTTGTTTTTGTTTTTTTTTTTTTCTTTTTTTTGTCTTTTTGAGACAGGCTCTCCTATGCAGTTCAGGCTGGCCTTGAGCTCACTTTGTAGCCCAGGCTGGTCTCGAACTCGCAACGATCCTCCTGCCTCAGCCTCCCAAGTGCTGGGATTACAGGCGTGCGCCACCACGCCCGGCGTGGCCCGACGCTTGTGTCAGTGAGTCACCCAGCTCTTGCCCTCGGAGCCAGTCAGTGTGTGGTCTTCGAGTCTGGAGCCCACAGGAGGCTTCTCTCGGGTGCCCCTTACCTGGTGGTGTTTGCTGATTGGGTGGACCCAGGCAGGACTATTTCAGAGCCTGGCACTTCTCTTCCAGAATCGAGCGGGTGATGGACAACAACACCACAGTGAAGATGGTGCCCATCAAGATCGTGCACTCGGAGAGCCAGCCCGAGAAAGAGAGCCGTCAGAGCCTGGCGCGCCCGGCTGAGCTGCCTGTGCTGCCCAGCGGGCTGGAGCGGGACCAGATCAAGACGCTGAGCACGTCAGAGCAGAGCTACTCCCGCTTCTGCGTGTACACGCGGCAGGGCGCTGAGACTGAGGCCCCATCCAGAGCCCGGCCACCCGAGCCCCAGCCCCCTGGGCCCCCCACGGCCCCCACACCGGAAGTCTGTGCTTCCCCGCTGGGGCTCAGCTATGCCAAGGCCAAAGAGAAGACCGCGGAGGACCTGAAGTCCGAGGAGCTGGCCAGGGAAATCGTGGGCAAGGATAAGTCCTTGGCCGACATCCTGGATCCCAGCGTGAAAATCAGAACCACCATGGACCTAATGGAAGGAATCTTCCCCAAAGATGAGCACCTCCTGGAGGAGGCTCAGCAGCGGAGGAAGCTGCATCCCAAAATCCCCTCTCCCAGGACAGCAGAGGAGAAGTGAGTAGATGCTGCCCTCCAGTGGGTTCGTGATTCTGCCCGCCTCTCTTAAGATTGAAAAGCGGGGAGGAGGGCAGATCTGTCTCTGGATTTGCATGATTGCTGTCTTTGCTGGGCCAGCTCTTTGTAGGAGCCCCCAGTTCGCGAGGCTTCTCTGCAGGCATCCCCAGAGAGAGGTCAGGGCTGCGGGCCTGCTGACCTTAGGGCCTGGTAAAGGCAGGAAAGTCTGTGCAGCACCGAAAGTCCTCAACGGGAGGCCAGCCTGATCAGCATGATGCCTGCAGGGTTCCTTCCCTGAAGACAGGCTCTTGGAGAGGCCATTGACTTCCCCAGGGCCAGTGTGCTGGAGAGAAAAGCTCCTTATCCCTAATGAGAAGAAACCAGGTAATGCTCTCAGCCTGTTTTAAAGACAAACAAACAAATCTAGGATCAAAAGGACCCAAAGAAGGCGTGGCGGTCCCTGGAAGACATCTGCACCAAGGGTTGGCAGAGTGTGTTTCCTGGGTCCAAGCCTACCTATTGCCGCAGGGACACTGGAGGGTAAAAATGCCTTGACCTCTGTGTGAACACATTAGTGTTAGTTAGTTTTGTACATAGCAACCGTTTGACCAGCATAGGGATGCGTGGACATCTTTCCTATCGATGGCGCGTCCTCTGTCACCACAAGCATCGGGGGCAGAAGGGTAGTGCCTCCCTCTGAGAGTTAGCAAAGGAAAAGCAAGGACAAAGCCAAGCCAGGCTCGAGGGGAATCAAGGAGCCTGCCTGTAAAAGGGTCAGCATTTGTAGTGTCACCTATGTCCTCCTCCTTCTCATCCTTGTCACCCCCCAGCTCTCCACGTGCGCAGTTTGGGCTGTCACCTCTGCAGCACAGGCTTTTGAGATCATTCTGCTTCTTTGAGATTTTTGCACTTGTTAAAAACACCCCCACCCCCACCCTGGGCTGGGGATGTGGCTCAGTGGTAGAGCACTTGCCTAGTGTGTATGTGGTCTGAGTTCAGTCCCCTGCACCGCGAAATGAAATTAACGGTGAAAAGTACTCACACTGACTTTCTGAGCACCTGTTTGGCAAGGTCTGTTACTTTTTGCGTTTTAACCTTGTTACCTGCTTTCTTTTGCTCCTTTGGCTGTCTGATCTTGGCCGGTGTCCTTGTGGTAGGGCCTGCTTTCATTTGTCACAAGTCAGGGAGCAGGTCCAAACGGTGCGTCTATGCATACCATTGCAGCTAATTGAAGACCTGACCTTTTTACGCAGGAAGGAGGAGCCAAGCGTGCCAGCGGCCGTGTCCCTGGCCACCAATTCCACCTACTACAGCACATCGGCCCCCAAGGCAGAACTGCTGATCAAGATGAAGGACCTACGGCAGCAGCAAGAGCCTGAGGAAGATTCGGGGAGCGACTTGGACCACGACCTGTCACTGAAGAAGGTAGGAAAGGAAATTCCACACTAGAACCTCACATTGGGGCTGTATATGGTGGCTGATGCCTGTAGACCCAGCCACTTGGGAGGTTGAGGCATGAAGATCACAACACGGCCAGCCTAGGCAACATACCAAAACCCCATTTTAGAATAAAGGGCCTGCACAGACCCTGCACCTTGTCTGAGGGTATTTGCATTGGGCGCTCCTGTAGGACAAGAAAACACAAGACAAATTAGCAAGCCCTTCATGATTAATTCTCTGTTCGATCTGTATTCTCACTTTCTACACGGCACTGTCTGGCATCTTTTTCTTTTCAAGTATCAATAACCTGATGATTATAAATAAATTTTTTTTTGGTGGTTTTTTTTTTTTCTGGTACCAGGAATCGAACTCACAACCTCGTGCCTGCCAGGCAGGTACTGTGCTGCTGAGCTAAATCCTCAGCCCATTATAAATAAATTTAAAATCAACCAGAGAGTACCTTCTCAGCCAGGCGTGGTGGCGCATGCCTGTAATCCCCACACTCTAGAGGCTGAGGCAGGAGGGTTGTTGCAAGTTCGAGACCAGCCTGGGCTACAAAGTGAGCTCCAGGCCAGCCTGAACTGCATAGAGAACCTGTCTCAAAAAGACAAAACAAACAAACCAGAAAGTACCTTCTCCAGGCCAGGGGTGGCGGTGCACGCCTGTAATCCCAGCACTCAGGAGACTGAGGCAGGAGAATCACGAGTTTGAGGCCAGCATAGACTACACAGTGAGACCCTGTGTCATGAAAGAAAGTGAAAGGCATCTGTGTTCAACTCCCATGTACTTAGCTTAGCGCTCATAGCCCTAGCAGTGGACAGAATACACAAGAGGGCCTTTCTCTAAGGGAGCTTATGGACTCATGCGAGAGGTGGACGCCATCCCAAAGACAAATGTGCTGTACAGAGCAGGCTCAGCACACCTGGCCCATCACTTGCTTTTGTAAATAAAGTTTTATTGAAGCACAGCCGCATCCCCTCATTTGCATGCGGATTATGGGGCTTTTGTAAGACCATCACAAAACTGAGTGGTCATGACAGTGTTTGTGTAGCCTGCAAAGTCTGAACCGTGTACTGTGTGGCTGTCCACAGATGAGGTTTGCCAGCCCTTGATGTACTCTGTCAGGTGGTGAGAACGGTTAAAGCGGGGTAAAGAGATACAGAGACAGATGGATGTGATTGTAGGGTAGCCTCCTCAGAGGCCATGCCTGAGTGGACAGGACTTGAGGGGTGAGCCCTAGGAAGATCTGGTGTCTGAGGGACAGTGAATGGGTGCACAGGTCCTGAGGAAAAGCAACAGAGGCCAGCGCCTGGAGCTGAGGGGACAAGACAGGGTGGGTTGAAGATAACATGAGGACAGGACTAAGGAACAACTTGTGGGCGAGAGCTATGACGGTCAGTGTAGGGACAGAGTTAGCCAGCATCATTCCTTATAGAGAGCCCTTCCTGGTCCTCATCCGGACCAGCAAGCTTATATTTGTAATCCCATGGAAAAGTTATTGGAATCCTGTCGAGTTAATCCCAATCTTCTACTCCCCGTGCAACCCGTGGCATAAAGACACAATAATATATCCAAAATGGTGGGGAGCCAAGGGGTCCTAAGTCCAGCTAGGATAATGGCTATCCAGAACAACGTCCTCGACCCACGGCCAAACCCAGGCTTTGTAAATTCATGAAGGGAGTGGCTCGAGGATGAGTGACTGTGAGAATAGCGGGAAGCAGGTGAGTGCTGTGAGCTGAGCTAGGCGGGCAGCCTGAAATCACCTCTGCAGTATGCAGAGAGTAAGATATACAGAAAGAGTGATCTGCGTGACACAGTTAAGGTAGTATGTGATGTTTGGGGTTGGTGCCTCCGCTCAGTATTTTATGCCCTGGGAGGTCACAGCTTCTTATCTTGACTCTGAATCCCAGCAGACAGCATGGAGCACTGGCTCTCCATCCCACCCCCGCTCACTTGTTTTATTTGGCGCTGCCCTATAGTCTTTGCTTCAAAGAGTACACATCAGCACCTCAGCTGGACCTGTTTGCATTGCCTAAAGCCAATTGAAGGGATAAGGAAAAGTCCCAGCCAACTCTGCGTACATCAATACATTCACATAGGGCCAGGTTCAGCCAAAATGGAGACCATTGCTCCTCGTTCAAGGAGAATTGCCCAGGTGGTCCTCCAAAGTTCCTGTTAGCATTGCTGTGACTCTCTACATGTGCCAGCTGGCCAGACCCGTGACATCATCGAGGCGTCTGATTTATACATGAGGGATGCAGGCAAGGCCAAAGACAGGTGTGAGTGTTATGGTTTGTGTCTGGGTGTCCCTGCAAAGACACATGCAGTCATCAGGTGAGCTTGTAGAGTTTGTGCTGGGATTATGGGTGTGAGTGCTACACCTGTCCCTGGGGCAGACAGTTTGCATATGTAAGGGAGAGAAAGAGGCTGCTTGCCGCCACTTCTCCCTTTTGTCTTGCTGCTTTTGCTATCTTCCGCTGCCATGAACGGTTGCCCTCTGCCATGTGCCACTCTGCCTTGGAGCCAGCTGAGTATGGACTGAAACCTCCACAAACTGTGAGCTAAATAAGCCTTTCCTTCCTTCTTTCTGGGTGTCAGGTATTTTGTCTCAGCAACGAGAGAAAAATAAGCAAGACAAGGGGACAGTGTGTTGTGTGGTTTCTTCCTGGGACCTTGGGTCCCCCTTAGCCATGAGTGCTGGGGACAGAAAAGAGGTGGCGGCATTGTTTCCTGTGGACCCTGCATGGTGGAAGGAGCATCCATAAAAATTGCTGGTTTTTTTGTTTTTTGTTTTTTTTGACAAAACCTTTGCAGGTGATTGTGTTCAAAGGATGCTTGTACTGTTAGTGATTTTTAAAATACCACTGATTGATTTTTAAATACGATAGGTTTAAATTTGAAGTCTTTGAAGAGTAGAGTTATTTGGGGGAACAAAGAGGTGGGCGTAGGGCCCACAGAGAATAAAACGTTGCTTGTCCCTAGGAGTAGAATGGAAGGTGGGTGCTTGCAGGCAAACCTAGTAGGAGGAAGCGAATTGTCCAGGGTCCCACCCCCGAGTCCCAGCCCATCAAAACTGAGGGGTGAGCGGCAGCTCGGGGCTGGCCTTTCTGGCACACTCTTGTCCCTATCGTCCAGAGTGGCATGAGTGCAAGAAATAAGCAAAGGAAGCTGGGCATAGGGGCACACACCTGTATTCCCAGCCACCTGGAGACTGAGGAAATAGGAGGCAGGTTCCAGGCCAGCCTGCACAACTTAGTGAGATCCTGTCTTAAAAAATAGAGCTGGGGACAGAGCCCAGCACTCCTGTGTGGTCTGAGCTATTCATTTGTGTGCTGCCCTGGGCCAGATCCCATCTCAACATGATGAAGAGCCAGTGCCTGGGCCCTGGGATATGGCTCTGTAGGACAGCCTGCCTGGCAAGCACAAGGTCCTGAGTTCAATTCCCTGTACCAAAAAAAAAAAAAAAAAAAAGGAGCCAATGTCTGTACGGTTTCAGTGGCCCTTTAACCATGACAGGGTGAATATTTCTATTTGACATCACTGCAAAATAAACAGGTAAATGAATAAACAAAAATTGTTTGGCACCTAAAAGAATCAGTAAAGGAATTCAGAGTCCTTTTAGACTGCCCAGCTTCAAGATGCACTGGCCAAGGTATGTTTTGAAGGCCTGTTTTCATACCTGATGTGAAATCCTCATCACTGTAATTGCTGAAGAAAACTTACTGAGGGGCTAGGGTGTAACCCAGGGGTGGAGCATATGCTAACTCTGTTCAAGGCCCTGGTTCCATCTCTAGCAAACCCCCCTACCAGCACCAAAAAGCAAAAAAGACAGCACACCTACTGAGTAGCACTTGCTAGTGGTCCTCCTGTCCCTGTGGGTCTCTCCAGTTCTTGAGGTATTCATTCAGGTCAGGACTGGCATCGGGCAAGCATTTGGAAAGTTCTCATACATTTTCTGTTTTGTGTTTTGTATCCCCTCAAATGATGACAGTCTGAAATGAGGCCATGTTCTGAGCTGCGGGATTCGGGGTTGATTTAAATAGTCTTTCTAGATAGCTAGGTAAACACATCACACAAGCTAGGTAAACACATCACACACATGGAGGGAGACAAGAAGAGAGGGAGGCAAGGAGAGAGAGAGAGAGGAGAAACATTTTTTAAAGGACTAGGGATGTAGGTCAGTGTTACAACCTTGCCTAACATGAGCAAGACCCTGGACTCCATCCCCAGCACCACAAAAGAAAGAGTGAGAGAGAATATAAAGGAAGTTGATGCATGTTCATGATTTCAATTGTAGGGAAAGAAAATGTCTTGCCACCCTGCATATCGTGAGGCTGACCTAGCAAAGCCAGAGCAATTTATAAATCCCATATGGTCCTTCCTGGGGAGAGAACTGTGTGTCTGAATCTCAGTGGAGCCCGGTAGCCTGGAAGATTGCTTACTGTTAATCTGCGGGCAAGCAGGGCATGCCAGTCAGCCTAAGGCAGGGAGATGGAGCCAAGAGGAGGCAGCCCTTTCCTGTGTGCCAGCGTTTCTCTGTTTGTTTTGCTTACAGAAATGCTAGATGGAGATTCTCTTTACAGAGCATCTGAGATGCAGACCTCAGTATGAAATGCAGATGTCCTCCAGTGGTTTGGTGTTTCTCCCAGTGAGAACTGACCTTTCCTGCTCACATGGACAGCAGGACGGTGGTTTTCACTCTCTTGTGCTGTATGGAGGGGGGCCGGCGGTTCCTGTCCCACGTGGATGAGAGCGGATATGTACCAGGCACCTCGTGTGCGTCGTGATAAGTACTTCCCACCCTGTAATCTTGACCATCTCAGCGGCAGCCCCATGGAGAGCTGCTGTTGATCCTGTATTGCTGTAGGATGTTCTGTCCTGGAGAATGGAAGCGAGCCTCCACCTCTTACTCTGCGAGCCAACAATCAGTTATTTAAACCCGCTCCAAACCCCAGGCTGAGAACAGGGCCCCATTTTAGATACTCACCATTCAGAGGAAAAGCTCAACACCGAAGAGAGATGCAGAACTTGCCGGATTCTTGCCTGATGCCAGTCCTGACTTGAATGAAAACGTCCTCCTCTTACTTTTCCTGTAGGGTCAGAGTAGTCCTTGTTGGCGTTTCCTGTTCACGAGCATGATTTTGTCTTCCTTTGCTTTGTGTGCCTGAGCACTGTTTGAATTTTAAGTCCGCGCAGCCCTCACCCAAGGAAGGAAAGCCCGGTGTTCTTGGATGAAACTTCTTTAGTGAGAGTGACCAGGCAGGGCTGAGCTGTCCAAAGCATCCCTGGTGGGATAAATAACGGTTGGCTTATGCTGTGGGCAGGTTCCATGGCAGAGAGGCAGGCTGGAAGAAGGTAGCTTTTGGAGGAAGACTTCCCTGCCAGACTCCTGTGGAGCCATCCTGAGAATTTTTCTGCAGTATGATGGTGGCAAAGCATCTATTACTTTTGTCCTAACTCACATCAGGCTGTATGGTGCTGCTTCACTGCAGGGCATCGGCTGCTCTAAAGGGTTCCTATAGCTTGTCTTTAGTTTACACTTTAAAAATGACTCCTTCAGGGGCTGGGGATTTAGCTCAGCGGTACAGCGCCTGCCTGGCAAGCGCAAGGTTGTGAGTTCGATTCCTGGTACCGGAAGAAAAACAAAAAAACAAAACAAAAATGACTCCTTCAAAGGGCTGGTGTGGGAGGCCATAGTTAGTGTTTATGTTACACCGGTCCATTGAGGAGGGTGAAGGGTTCAGGCGCATGCTGGTAGTGGTTGCACAGCAGCGTTCTGTGGACATCCATTGGCACAGAACACACCTTCCAGAAGGGCTGCAGTGACGGGGGCCGGGGGGAAGGGTTCGAGGCTCAAGGGCAGAGCACTGGCCTTGCACGCGTGATGCCCTGGGTTGTGTCCCCAGGCCCGGCACCCTCCGCCAAAGAAGCTCAAATAGTAAATGCTGCGTATGTTTTTCCGTAATAGAATATTAGCCACTTCTGTGCATCTTGGTGAAAATGAAGTGAGTCGGTTCTATTAGATGACTTTTAAGCTCACTAACATCCCCTTTGGTGGGTCTTAATTTTTAATTGCTAAGTAGAGGGAGAGGGCAGTTTTGAGTTACGGAATTCAGTACCGGATGTGAGACACTGGCAGCTTCTCCATCTGTCGGTCTTAACTGGGAAACTTTCTGGGGACAAAGCCCAGAACATTGCACAGGCCTTGCTCCTGCAGAGGGGGGCACTGGGCAGCTCCACTGTATTCTAACAGGGCTGTCACTGAATAAAAAAGGTTGTGTGTTTATTTTTTTGTATATGTGTATACTCTGTAGAATTTTCTTTATTCACTTGTTTATTAAATGCCAATAAGTTACCTAGGTGTCGTCCCCCTTCCTCTCATCTTATAAATAAATCCTTTATTATTTGCTGATGGGGGAATGAACCCCACAACCAGGTGCAGCAGCACACTGTAGTGCCAGTGTGGGAGGCTGAGGCAGGAGGATCAGGCTGGGGTATAACTTAGCCTTCCCTGGGTTCAGGGCCCATCACTGCAAAAACAAAAAACAAATTCAGCTAGTTGTGCTGAGTTACACGCAGGGAACATGTGCAGCGCTGGCCCTGGGGTGCAGGCACGGGCTGTGCTGATGAGTGTTTCTGTCTTGCCCCACATCCCTGCAGCAGGAGCTCATCGACAGTATCGGCCGCAAGCTGCAGGTGCTCCGGGAAGCCCGCGAAAGCCTGCTCGAGGACATCCAGGCCAACAACGCGCTGGGGGACGAGGTGGAGGCCATCGCGAAGGACGTCTGCAAACCCAATGAGTTCGACAAGTTCCGAATGTTCATCGGCGACTTGGACAAAGTGGTGAACCTGTTGCTGTCCCTGTCGGGCCGCCTGGCCCGGGTGGAAAACGCCCTCAATAACTTAGAGGACAGCCCTTCTCCTGGCGATCGGGTAACTACAAACGCGCTGGCTGCAAATGGGTGGGCCGGGAAGGCTGTGCACGGGGTGCTGGGGCAGCAGCTCCCTATACGGCATGTGCTGCTTCCTTTGAGGGCGGAACAGGGTGTGCTGCTGAAGTGCAGTGAGTTCTCCCATTGCCGCTGGAAGCTGCACTGCTGGGATCTCCCTTCCTTAGACGCTTTTCAGATCCTCCCCTTAGTCTGTGCTCACAAGGAACTCTTCCTGGACCACAGGCTTTCTTTCAGCTTTACCGTATGTGGGTCCGTAGACTGAGCTCATACCCCTCCGAAAAAGCAGAAGTACCCAGCGACAGACAGCATTTCAGTACTGTTGCCGCTGTGATTTAACACGAGTGAGTCTCGCTGTCTAGACAGGGTTAGAGGGTTTGTCCAGCTCTGCTCCCACTGCCGAGATGACCTCCCTTAGAAGGCCTGGTTCAGTTTTGTTATATATAGAATGAGGGGAGTAATTTCTACCTTGTTGGCTTTAACTCTTAGGTCAAAGATAATTGGTAAATCACCTTGTTCTGGTCTTACACATGATAAGCCTTGAACATGGTGAGTTATTACTCGTGAAACACGAACACACGCACACATTCTGTCTTCTGTGCAGCTGCCAGGCATTAGTGACTCTGGCTGGTTTTTTTGTAAACTGAGCTACATTTCCAGAGTCAGACAACATCTTACTTCCCTTACCACTGGAGGAAGTTGGCCTGTCCGAGCCTCTTCCTGTGACAGTATATGGTGTTTTTATTTTACTCACACTGAGGACCAAGACATTCCTCAGAAGCGAGCCAGAGGCCCTGGAAGTTTTGTGGTCATGGCACTTCACGGAAGTGGCACATCAAGGGCATTTGCACTTTCCGGCCACTTCTCAGTGATAGTGGTGCTAGTTCCGCTTTACCGACCAAGCCTCTTCTGTGCCTGGTGTGTTGCAAAGTGCTGCGTGGCCTTGCAGGCACTCCCATGATTGCAGAGCAGCTGCCCTGGTGCTCAGCCGGAAGTCTGGACCCTGGCTGCCAGGGGTAGCCCACTGGCAGAGCGGGGGCTTCTGCTTCCATGTGCAAGGCCCCGCAGCAGAGAGAAGAACCCGAGCTGAGGAAACGAATGCCTGGCACTTCCCAGCCTGTGCATGAGGACGCTGCGCCCATCCCTTCCTTTCCTGGTTTTCCTTCAACTTGGATTAAGTAGGGAAGCGAGGTGCATGTTCTGGGAGTACAGAGTGAGTTTCCTGTATTGGGAACAGGGTTGTCTGTGGCCCCCCGAACAAACCCTCATAATGAGTGAGGGGATGATCCCCAGGCCACCCGCCGTCCTGTCTCCTCTCCTATCTTTCGCTCTGTCCTGTGTCCTTTTCTGTGGTTGCACGTACAAATTCTCTTGTCAGGAGGTTGAGACATCCTGCCCTGGAACTTCATCACCCTTCCCTCCCGCCAGCCTTCCCGTAGCATTCTTGTGGAAAGGGCTTTGATGCAAATAGTGTCCACAAGTCCTTCGCCCTTTCGAGCACCTCCGACTTCTGTGGTTTCTGGTCCTCTGTTTTTGCTGCTCACCGCAATCTCGTACTTGTTCAAGGCAGGTGGGAGAGAATGAGGCCAGGACTATGAGAAAGAACCCAGGGAGTGCGCTCTTGGCTTCCAGGAGGACCTGAACAGGAGCCTGCCCCAGCCACATGGCACATGCATGCGTACCCCTGGCCTTCGGTGTGGGTCCCATCCTGTCTTTGGCGACATTGGGATTCCCTAGGACCATCTGATAGAGAGGCGTGGGAACAGCCCCAGCCCTGACCCATTTTCAAGGCGTGGGCAGGGGCTTCTGCCTTAGTCCTGGTCATCAACAGGCGCTTGCCTCTGTCTCCCCACAGCAGTCGCTGCTGGAGAAGCAGCGAGTCCTCATCCAGCAGCACGAGGACGCCAAGGAGCTCAAAGAGAACCTGGACCGCCGCGAGCGCATCGTGTTCGACACCCTGACCGCCTACCTCAGCGAGGAGAGCCTGGCAGACTACGAGCACTTCGTGAAGATGAAGTCGGCGCTCATCATCGAGCAGCGGGAATTGGAGGACAAAATCCACCTGGGCGAAGAGCAGCTGAAGTGCCTGCTTGACAGCCTGCAGCCTGAAAGAGGCAAGTAAGTGGCTGGTCAGCCGGGCAGAGGACAGCTGCGGCCTCGGAGCTCTGTCCACATGCGTGTGACCTCGACAGTGCTGATCTCCTGGAGAGAGACTCATCCCAGGGCACAATACCATTGTGTGGGCTTGGGATCCCTTACTGAACCTTTTAATTTCCCTTGGGAACAGAGCAGTTTCCCTCACATGTGACTACGTGAGATGCCCGGCACTGGCTGGCGTGGACCCCATGGATCCATTAGGCTGGGGCTGTGGGACATACAGACTCTGTCGCCTTCGGTGGAAGAGCCGCCGTTCCTCTGCCTTCCCATGCCAAAGCAGCTGCATGGAAAGACACCGAGAACATCCTCGGGATGCAGGAGCGGGGACGCCCCGGTGCACATCTTCCCTCGGGATGCGTCCGGGGATGGGCTGCTGGGTTGTGTCCTTTTCCTGACCAAGTATGAGTGTCCGTCCTCTCTGCCCTATAATCGTGTTCCCTGACCCAGCAAAGTCTCGATGAGGATGATAATTTATTAACATGTAGGAAAAGTGAATAGTTTCCTAATGGTTAAAAACCAGCAGGGAAATGGACAACCTATATGTTGGGTGCACTCGCTCTAAGCTTAAAAGTGCCACTTCAAGAAATGACGTGCATGCTTTAGAACCCACTCACATGACAGACACACCACTGTGGTCCTTCTCGCCAGGCATCAGAGGTTACATGATGTTATCCAGCCAAGTAAGAACACTTCGCTACATGTGTCCAGTACTAATGTGCTTGTTAACTATTTATTTCCTGAGACCAATGGAATATTTTTCTACTTACTTTCCCTCCAGAACATTAACCTTGTGCACGTATGGTCATTCATGATCATTGTTTTTTTGTTGCAGTTGTTTGTTTGTTTCTTTCTCTGTTTTGGCATCAAGTTGGTCCCCAGATATTGAGGGCCATATTCTGCGTACTGTGAGACCTTTCCTCTGCCTTTTCAGGGGTCCTGTGCACTATCTTAACTCTTAAACTTGACCTTTTTCTGCTGCAGAGTTTAAAGATTCTGTGCCTCTTGCAGGGGTGAAAATGGCAGGGCTCATTAAATAATACCATCATGCTGCAGTTTCCATTGGTAATCAGAGACTGAAAGGAAATGTTTGCAGATCATGTGTCTGCCAAAGGATTTGTACCCGGAATGTATGAAGACCTCTGGAAACCCAGTGAACGGCCCAGTTAGAAAGGGGGCAACAGACTTGAACAGACAGTTCACCAAAGAGGTTATACACATGGCAAATAAGCACAGGCAACAATGTCCAGCTGCTGATGGCTTGCTGATTTTTTACCTAATAATTGTGGGTCACGTGTATTGCTGGAAAAAGCTCATCTAACTAAAGCCATGGTTAATGGTGAGCCAGTCCTTCACATAACTGGGTATTTAGGTAGTATCTGTTCCTTTCTCCTTAGTCCCATAAGGAGTGAATAGGTTTCCCCTTAGTCAGCAATAACCACGGCCCTCCTAAAAAACACGTATTCACATGCGTGCACACATACACACAGAAACACATTCACATGTCACAAGCCTGACACAGAGGTGTCTTATGCTTGTGAAGTCTTTCCCTACAGCTGAGTCCTGTAGGGCAGGCTTCGGTCCTGCAGAACTCACGCTGTCAGCAGCCTCCCAGGGCCTTTTCAGAGGTGATCATTCCTGTCTCTGATGAGCTGTGTGACTCCGTGCGGCCCCAGCTCCCTCCTCCTTTCCACCTGGCCCCTTGCTGGGAGCACGGGCCACTGGCTGGGCTATCCACAGACCTCACGAGTAACTTGATTGTTTGTTTATAATTCAGACAAATTTTTGACCCATGCTCTTTATCCTCAAATTGAGTATTGTGATCGTCTTAATAATATACATGTACAATGTGAATAATCAAATCTCTGCATCTATTCCCAGCCTTTACACGTCTTTTTGGACTCCCGCCTTAGATTTAGCAGTACGTAGTCCTGCTTTGCTGTCCTTTGCGCCAAGGGCACATTATCACAGCCTTCCCTTCTGGTTTTCTGTTTGCCTCTGTAATGCGTGGTCCACAGGGAATGAAAGACTCCAGTGGTCTCCATGTACATAACTCAGTACATAGATGTATTGTTGTTATGAAAATAAATACGGTGCTACCAGTTGGCCCTGGGCATTCAAAGGTGGTCGTTGATTCCTGCCCCTGTCGTAGCAAAGCTGTGGAAGTCTGCAGAGTGGGCCTTCTCTCACTTAGATATGTGTCGCCTGTATCCTGCAGCATACTGTTTCAATTGTGTATATATTTCATAGTTGACACCACATACTGATCAATGGCGCATCCTGCTTGATTTTAACAAAATAAATACTGTGTCTTCGAGTGAAAGTAGTGGATCTTTGATTTACCTACATCACAGCTTTGTTAATAAAGTCAAAATAATGGGACTGGGATAAAAGAAATTTCGGGGTTTTTTCAGAATGTATCATGTCTTTAAACCATTTTGAGTAAGCTGTAGTACTGATTATCTGCTTGTAACTTGCAAGTAGGTGTAAGGCCAGTCAGTTTGCAGTTATAACAGAGTCAGGGGCACAGTTAGCTATTGTCTCAATAGTGCTGTGTAACAAAAAGCTACAACCGCACAGCAGTGTGCAGTGTTAACTTAGCTCTTGAGTTTGCAGATCAGTAGCTGATCAGGCAGAGCTCTGGGCTGCGTGCCCCTCTCCTGCCTCCTGGGAGCACCAGTTTGGCCTGGGTTATATCCCTGGCGGGGCACCAGAGAACAAGCGCAGGCCTAGAGCTCCTGTCATTTCACATTTGCTACCCTTCCATGCCCAAAGCACAGCACAGGGGCAAACCCAGAGTCCCAGGGAGTGGAACAGGGTCCACGTGCTCAAACGAGGGAATTGTGGAGACGCAGGGCCAAGAGTGGATACAGGGAGGTGTGAGCTTAGGGTTGTTTTTGGGTTCCACACCCCACTGCAGTGTCTACTAATACACAGATGCACTCAGTATTCCAAACCACAGAGCCAGCTTGCCTGGTGCATAGGCGCCTCTCCCACTTCCTAGCTGAGGCCCGCGTCCTCTCCCGTCATTGCAGATGAGCTGCTGTGCGGTGAGTGTGCCACTGCTTGAAGCCAGCTCTGGGTCACAGAAGTGGTACACTTGGTGTGGTGACTGCAGTACCTGTGCCTGCAGGAATGAGTTCCTGGGCCCCCCAGTGGATTCTGATGCCGGAGAAAGGGCTGGAGACAGTGGAGGGGAAATTCCTGCATCTGGATTTTTTTGGTTTTTTTTTCTACTTTAAAAGATTATTTAACCAAGGCCTGGTGGTTCGTGCCTATAATCCCAGCACTTGGGAGGCTGAGGCAGGAGGATTGCCATGAGTTTGAGGCCAGCCTGGGCTGCATAGTGAGTTCAAGACCAGCCTGAACTGAATAGTAAGATGCTGTCTCAAAAACAAAAGTTTCATTAAATTACCACTGTACAGCCAGAAACAGTGGAGTGAGGGAGTGACTTCCTCCCATCTGTTTAATTCTAACCAGCACCCTACAGCCATTTCTCCTTCGATCATCCTAAGAGGTGGAAAACAAAGTAACAAAACCCCAGGGGATCTCTGATGCTCTAGGCCAGACCACATGGGTGTGGGATTATTGGGTTAAATAACCCTTAGTTACTGTGGGCTGATCAGGCCCGCAATCTCCCTAGTGAGTGGACCTGGACGGGAAAGGCTTATCTAAATGAGACCGTGGAAATGCTTTCAGGGCTCCAGGAGGGTCTAACTCTCTTACAGCTTCGATATTCCCTGGGTTAGACCCAGACTTCTCTGGGCAGCCCCTATTTATTTGTTTTTCAAACAAAGGAGGAGGATACTCAAGAAAACGTGTGAATCTAGCAGGACCTTGGGAGAATTTTCCCAAGTAGCAAATTATGTCAATCAGGAGAACTGCCTTATCTTGAGGTTGGTATTTATTGCAGGAGTGTGGAGCCTGCAGCTGCAGTCTCCTTGTAGATAACCAGGGTTGGAGCCAAATGTCCTCAGCTGTGGCTTTATCTTGTGCTTTGAGGCTTCTCAGCTCCACAGGCTAATACAGGCCTCAGGGTGACCAGTGACTCTCAGAGGTTTACTTACTAAGAGTCCACTGCCCATCCCCAGACAAGGTGCCTAAGCTTCGGACAATTCACAAGTACACATGGAAAGCCAGTTTGTTAATGTTACATCCTGCGCAGAGCCACTTTGTGGTGGTCTCCATCAGTGGATCTCCTCGCCTGACCTTCAGTGTCCTCTACTCTACTCCACCCTCATTACAGGTCTCTAAATATGTGCTATATGTCATGCCTTAATTAAGATGAGAGTGATTGCAGGGGGGGCAAGCTTGTATGTTGAGAGCCCCTGAGATGGCACAGCATCCTGTCACTACTTTCCTGTCAATCACACCTAGAGAAGAAGAGGGGGACCTGGGCAGAGGTGCGTGTCCTTTAAATTCCAAGAGCCTGCTTTATTGGGGGCCGCTGCTGCTCCTGTGTGCTGTGAGCTGTGTGCATTGCTTTTGCTTTTCTATCACCCTGGCATCATTTCCGTCTCTACCATATCCTTTGTTGGCACGGACTTGCCCAGAGCTCAGTTCCCATGATCTTCAATAAATGTAGCTGCTTGCCGCTTGCTACTGGGTGTGCTCTTGATGGTTCTTTGTTCAACATACACAGGAGCCTGGACTACACCATCCCGTTACATGGTAATGTTTTCCTTTGAGTCCAGGAGTTTGAAAAGCGTGAGTCTCACTGAGCTGAAGTCAAGGCATGAACACAGCATCCTGTGCTCCCCTTTCTCAGGGCCCTGGAACAGAACTCATTTCCTCCCTTCCAGCTTCTCAGGGCTGCCCCTTCCTTGTCTCCTGCTTCTTCCTCCAGCCACAAAGCCAGCAGCTTAGCCTGCTCCCACCCCTCCGAGCCCTCTGCCACCTTCCCATCTCCTTCACCGGCTTACCCCCTCCTGCTCCCTCCTGCAGCCGCCTGGTGGGGACACTGGGCCCACCCAGCCCCTGCAGGATCGGGTGTCCATCTCAGGATCCTGCTTTACTCACATCCCCAAGGGCTCTACTGCCCTGTGGGCCCCGTATCCGCACCGCCCGCCCTCCCTTCCTTGCTTCCCCTTCCATTCCCTCCCTCTCTTATTTCTCCTTCCATTTCTCTACTTTTCTCATTCATATATATTTTTTTTCTTTTTTTTTTTTTTAAGAAACAGGATTATACTAATCATATCCTTTTAGTTAGCAAAATTGGGAATTATTTTAGTTATTCTTCCCCATGATTTTGAGTGACATCTCACTGTAAGGATATACAATGTTGTACTGAATGTTTTCCAAGAGTATTTTAAGATGTTTCCTTTTGTCCCAGATACAGTCTCTGCACACATCTCCCCTGACTTTGCTTGGAAGAACGCCGTCATCATGGAAGCACTATGCGAACTGCGCAGGGATTGTGACTTCCGTGTGACATTTAGTGCTCAGTAGCACACAGCTGACACTCTTCGGCTTTGTGGCAGCTGTTTCTTAGAGAAGCTCCCTCTGAGGCTTAGCAGGCCAGTGTCTCACAAATGAGGGCCCCCTCACCACATGATACCCTGGTCTTGCCCTTGTGCACCTTCTTGGGGCAAGTGTGACTCAAGCCCCGACCAGAAGGGCTCACGTCCCATCAACAAAACAGCATCTGTCCCAGTGTGTTGGGCATTAGTGGCCTTTCACAAGGAAATCCCATCCGGGCGGGTGCCGCTTCTACAAACCCTTGCATTTGTACACTGCCGCTGCCTTTCTACAACTGTGATGTAGGGAGGTGCTGTTTCTGACGGGAAACGCAGGAGATGGTCACATGGTCTTGATGGCCCATACGTGAATATACTGTCCCCAAAGACTGCCAGAAAGGCAGGGTACACAGTGAGTGTTGATGCCAGTGTGAAGGACAGGTGTCATTGTCCTGGTGAGCTGGCAGCTCAGAACTTGGCAGGTGGGGGAAGGGGAGGGATGGAATGCGGTACCCATGGGAACTGCAACAGAAGGCCTTCTCACTGAGAGCCAGACCACCGTGTAGGTGAGAGCTCCTGGCTCCTGGAGCAAGACGCTAGCGTGACGAGCCAGTGAGGATCTGTGTCGGTCAGCCCTGCCGGCCCAGTGAGCAGGCCCTCATCCTGTCTTGTCACCAGGTCCTGGAAGACACCACGCTGGTTAGTGGGGGCCTTGTCCTGCATGCTCGTGTATTCTTTTTATTGTGGTAAAAGAGACATAACCTACAGTTTGTCTTTCTAACCAGTCCTGAGTGTACAGCTCAGCCACACGAAGTACGTTCACACGGTTGTGTGACGGTCATCGCAGCACCTCCTGACCTTGTCACCTTCCCTGCGGGAAACCCTCTCTCCATGAACTGCCACCTCCCCCACCCTCCCTGTCCTCAGGCCCTGGGTACCACCTTCTCCTGTCTGTCTGTGGAGTTGACTCTCCGGGGACCCTGCAAGGGGAATCACACAGGATTGGTTCTTTTCTGCCGGACTTCTTTCACGCAGTGTAATGTTCTCTCGGTTAGTTGCAGCCTGGGACAAAGAAGATGCTCATCCTACCTGTGTTCCCACCTTCTGTCCATATCCCAGAAGTGACAGTGTTTATTGTCTACATATATAGGACTTTATATCTTGTATGTTTTTACATAAACCTGTGCCGTATATCCTGTCCTTAATTCACAGCAATGGAGCTGTTTCTACAGCATTCTCCAGCTGATAATTTTACCTAGCAAAGGGTCTGGAACAGCTTTCTTTGCAAGATATTTCTGCCCACCCATCCCTTGGCCTCTGTGTATCTTTCTCTGTAAGTCTCTGTGTGTGCCTTTCTCTCAGTCTCTCTTTCATCTCTGTGTCTGTCTCTGTGGGTCTCTCTCAGTCTCGGTCAGAGTCTGTCTCTCTGTCCCTGTCTCTCTTGGCCTCTTCAGTGTGAGGGTAAATAAATGGTGCTGAGACACACTGTGAATGGGAGAAGGCCTTTTCAGCTCAGACCCCTCTACCCTCACAGAGACGTTTTCAGGGTGCCACATGCTGTCCTTCCAGATCTCCCTGTGTGCATTCCCAAGCGTGGAAACGGGCATAGAAATCCTTTCCTGTTTACCCAGGGCGGCCGTCAAATGCATGAAGAGTTGTAGCTCCCTAAGACCTCGAGCAATGGATCTTTCGCGCTCACTGTGAGCATGTGTGCCCCCACACGCCTGTGCATATGAATGTATTTATAGATACGTGCCTGTGAGTGGCTGTGCGTGAGTGTGCCAGCCTCCTTTCTCTATCCCACTGCTGCCCGTCCAGGAGACTGCTTGCAGCCTGGCCATCCTTAGCAAGCCATGCTTGGTTCTCAGCGCTTGCCACAGACCTCCAATGTATGGATCAAAAATTCCCAGGACTTCATGTATTTTGAAAGAAGAGCTATATTTTTAAAAATCTGTAAGCTCATCATTGGAGACTATGATAATGTTCTCTGCAGCCCCATAAGCCTCGCTGCCCTTGTGGTCCCTTCACAAGTTGGGGTGTTGTTCCCACCACTCCCATGATAGCAGCCCTCCCTCCCTCATCCATCCCCTCCTAATGCTAAGGAGCATCGTGTCAGGGAAGTGTCTTCCTCTGTGGGTTTTTGCAGGACAGGGTAAGGCTGCTGCAGATTGGAGGAAGCACACGGTGTCCTATTGCATAGGCTGGGATCTCCGCTGCCTTCCCCAGACATGGAGTCTGCGCTGCTGAACTGACCCAGCCCTGAGACTTCCGAGGGAACCTGTGACTTGCATTCATTTTCATGCCATGCGAAACACTATTTTCATGAGTGCAGGGTAGCAGAGGGGTAGAGTTAGTTTCCTGAGCCCTTGGGCAGCAGAGGGAGCCACTTCTCCAGCTGTGCCGGCCAAGGCAGCAGGTGCCCTGGTTCCTGTATACTTGAATCTGCCTCTCGCACGACAAATCCAGTTGCACACATGTCAGTGCTTTCACCAGTCCAGGAGCTCCAGCACCGGCCTCAAGGGCAGTGCCTAATGTGATCCCAACAGAAGTGCTCAGTCACTTAAACCCGCTCAGGATTCCAGGCTGCCACTTACACTGTCCCTTCCTAAAACTTAATCTGGATGATCAGGACGATGCAAGGGATTTTTATGAATATGGCACGTACCAGGGTGACTCTGGCCATTGGAGCAATTTCTGGAGTCACCTGCAGCGGCCTTTACTCTGCCCTCCTCTTAGGGTCACGCCCGCCCTGTGATCCACTCCAGAGCCCTCAGTGCTCTCTAGGATGGGCTTCCCTGGCTGCTCCTGCCTCTCCCTTGCTTCATGGCCCCATCCCGAGAGCCAGCCCACATTCAGGGCAGGTCCCCACACTCAGTGGCCTCCTCTCCTCCCATTTCTAGCACTCAGACTCCTCCTTTTGGTGGAATTGGGACAATTTTCCTGCCAAGAGCCTCTGTCGGCCATGTGGCGTCCTCTCCGCATCTTCTGTCCAGCAGCAGGTGTTCGCAGCTACTTCGCAGGCCTATTTCTTCCCATCTGCACTGGTGACTTAAATGTCTCCATCTCCTTGCAGAGTGAATCTTCCTTGAGGTGGCAGCACTCGAGCTATTCCTCTACCCAGCACCCAGGGAGGTTTGTGCACATAACAGGAGCTCTGCACAAGGCTTCCCTCCACATCTCTCCACATCTTCTAAGGACACCACCATGTTGGATTGGGGCCCGCCTCTAAACCTCACTTGAGCTCCATGACCTCTGTAAAGACGCTGTCTCTAAGTAGAGCCTTATTCTAAAGGTCTGGGGCTATGAGTTCAATGTGGCTTTTGGGGGAGACACAAAGCCATGTGCCGAGGTAAAAAGGTTGCATGGGAAATGCAGAGGGGAAGGAAGGGCCTGTGCTGGGGGGACCTCATCCCACTGTGGGTTATGGGTGGTGTTTGAAGAAGCGGGCAGGGAAAGGGAAGCAAGTAAGCATCCCCAGGAAGGAGGCAAGGAGCCCTTAGGAAATCCCAGGGCTTTCTCAAAGAGGAAGGGATCAGGAGATGGAGAGAGTGGGGAGGGAGAGAAGGGAGAGGCGATGGAAGGGGAATGCAGATGTCACACCAGCATGAAGCGAGTGTGCATGAGGAATGGAAACGTGTTGCAAACACGTACAGAAAAGGACGGGGATCCATCCCCTGGAGCTGGGTAGCAGGGGAGGGAGGGGAGGGAGTCAAAAGGGGATTAAGGTGCGTTATGTACATGTGCCAACTTCCCACCAGGAGTGTACACGTTATACTCTAGAAACAGGTACTGATAAAGAAAAGGACTGCGGGGGAAAAAAAGGGGCTTGGGGGCATACCTGAATGTAAAAACCCTGGATTCAATTTCCACTATCTGCTTTTCTAGTGATACTTTCCTACTATGGTGAAATATACGTGCCATGAAGTTTACCATCTTAAGCACTGTGAGACGTACAGATCAGTGGCACTCTGTATATTTCATCATTTCCATCCATTTCTGGACCTTTTTCATGTTCCCCAACTGAAAAGCCATGTCCACCTACTGCCCTTCACTCTTCTCCCCATTCCTGGTGTGCACCATTCTACTTTCCATCTCTAGGAAAGCTGCCTCCTACAGGTTCCTTGTGCAAGGGCAGCATGCCGTATTTGCCTTTTGATGGCCTTCACTCACTACCAAGTCTTCAGGGTTCATGCAGGTGGTAGCACTGGCAGAGCTTTATGTTCTACATACAGGCCACAGGTGTGTATCAGCCCACCCATCAGTGGACATTGGGTGTGTTTTCCCACTGAGTCCCTTTGTGCGTAATGCCATGAACATGGCTCAAGACCCAGCCCTGACCTCCTTGGCAGGCATGCCCAGAAGCAGCATTGCTCAGCCACATGGTGTTTCCATGGTCAGTTCTCCTGATGTGAATGAATCCCATTGAGTATCATGAGGCGGGAGGCACTGTGTATGAGGACTTGACTCAGCATCGTCCCTTATATATATGCCACTGATGGTTGCATATGCCCTGTAACTAGCCTGTGCTCTATCTTCATGGCAGTAACATGGGGTCATAATTTCACCTCTATCACTGGACTCTCTGAGGGTTGAATGTGGTAACATACACACAGCATTTACACGAGCCTGTGACCTTGTACAAAGCACAGGGTAAACCTGTAGTGAGTATTTTACTGGAGCCCAGGATTTTTTAGGCCCTGTTTACTACCTCACATTTTACCTAATAGTACTTCTTTTCTTGTAGGTGGTTCGTTGCATTTCATGTTGGTTGGACATTTCTCTCTTCCCATATAATGGTTCCTACCTCTGTGAAGAATATTTGTCATCCCGTCATACTAATGTGGAAAATGATGCTCTTCACATATGGGTAAATGTGTATATAAGTTCCACATAGTCTTCATACTTGGCTTTTGAGAAAAACACGTCCCTACCCCACTGGTTTCAGACATGGGCAGCACCAGATCTCCCCAAGTTAGCACATTTTCCTGACGACCGTATTCTCCTTCCTGGTGCTCTCTCTCCTCACAGTTCCCCCATCCTGTGGTCCATTCCCTCAGAGCTCCTTTGGCAAGGAAGTGCTCTGGACACTGAGTTCTCAAAACTGCCCATCACTTCCATACTTGTCTCATAAAGCCACTTTCATAGTCGACAGTTGCCTTCTCCAAATGACAAAGGACATTCCACAGAAGCCTGGGGCCCAGTGGGGCCTTGCTGGAAATAGCAGGCTTCGCGTGAAGGAGATAGAGTGTGGCAGTGCCTAGAATGTTGTGCACGGGCAGAGCCCATATTGTCCACATGCTTGGGTAGACATTAGCACTACCATGCTAGGGAGGTTGCCTTCCAACTATAAATTTGTTATTATCCCTGGCACTTACCTGCATTTGAATGGACAAGGCAGTCAAATAAGTGGGTTCACAGTGTAAATGTGAAGTGTAAGTTTTGCTTTCTAGAAGATAAATGCTGCGTATGAAATACATCAGGATTATTTTAAGTTGCACCCAAAAGAAGCCAATATGTAAAGGGGGAGTTCTGAGCAAGCAATGGGTTAAAAGTGCAAGTAGGCATGGTGTGACACTTCACATATACATCTGTAAGGTCATGTTCACTCTACCCTTAATTATAAAGTATGTGTACTTCTCATTACAAAGCATCACAGATAGGCTGAGGTTTTATGACAGTGGTAGAGCGGTCTTTAGCATGAGTGAAGCCCTGGGTTCATTCCCCACTACTGCAAAACAAACAAATCAATAAGCAAATAAAGAAACAAATTGCAGAAATATAGGTAAATAAGAATGGAAAGCTCCTCTCTACTGAATTGATTTCCTTAGAGTTACTCCTTTTATGTGCATCTTTTCAAGTTTTAGAAAAATATGCTTGTATCTATTTGTATGTATAAAGAAAAGCAGATAAGTTTTTCCTCTAACACAAATGGTCACACCATATATTTTATTTTTCATTTTGGCTTTACACTGTATTCATTTTAGATTTTGTTTGTTTGTTTCTTCCTACATTTCATATGGCTTAACTCATTCTTGGCAATCTTAGAGATACCATAATTTATTTGGCCATCCTTCTGTTTATAGACATTTTGGTTACTTCCAATTTTCTCTATTGCAAATGACACCAAACTGAATATTGCTGCATAGGTTTGCACAAACTCTTATTTTACCATGAATTCTCAAGACTGGAGTTGATAGATAAGACATATGAACATTTCCACTTTTGAAAGATACTGCCGCACTGTCTTCTAATATCTCCTACAAACTCATACTCCTGCAGCTGTCATGGATGCCTAGGCTTCTTTTCTTCCCTTTCCCTCCCCTTCCCTCCCCTCTCCTCCCCTCTTCTCCTTTCCTTGTTCACCTCCCCTCGATCCGTCCCCTTCTCTCTTCTCTCTGTTTCTTTTTTCCTCCCTCCATCCCACCTTTCCTTCCATTCTTCCTTCCTCTCTCTTTCCTTTCTCATTTTTGCTGTCTTTTCTTACTTTGAGACAAGGTGTCAATATGTATCTAAGACCAGCCATGAATCACTGTGTAGCCCAGGCTTGCCTTAAAGTCTAGATCCTCCTGCCTCAACCTCCTGAGTGCTGGGATTACAGATGTCCAACCACATACAGCTGCTAGACTTCTTTTTCTTATCTAAAATGTTTAGGAAGGCAGTATGTATATAGAACATTTAAATGTAACTTTCATACATGGAGAACATGTAAATATTTACCACGCTCTAACCACAATTTATGCTCTGATTTTCCCCCCTTCCATGGTGTTCCTGGCTTGAATTGCTGCCTCCTCGACCTCCTCTACAGTTTCCCTGGAGTGAAGCAACAGATCTACGCCCTGATTATCCTCCTTTTTAGTTTTGTGATCTGGGTATTCGGTATTGTCCTAATGAACAGTCTATCCTGGCGCGTGTGGGAATTTGACAAAGAGGGTATTCTCATTGCCTTCATTGGCCTTTGGAAGGCTCAGTACTATGTCAGGGGAGGCATCTCAGGCTCGGCACATATTATAGTAGTAGAATCCAAAATCAGCAGTGACTGGACCCACGCAATTGAGCTTGAGTATGCAAAGGATCTAATGGTGTTGGTGAATTTTCTGCAGTCAGCAGCCCTGATTTTATGCACAGTGGCCTTTATTGTTAGCAGGTTAAAGACCACCTACCCAGACTTCCTGCAATTCTATTACAGAACCTCAGCTGTCCTCCTTTTACTCAGCTCTGGCTGTGTGGCTCTGGCTGTTAGCTGGAACTATGCCATGGACATTTCTGGCCAAAGCACCCTTGATTTCCCATTAAGCTTTTCTGTTGACAAAGAGGATGTGATCAAGAAACACTTGTCCCACGTGTTCCCACTGGGGATGGTCACTGCTGCCCTGTCCCTCCTCAATAGCACCCTGTGCTTCGGGTATATGTGCTTCACAAAGCCCAAGTCAGTGGCACCAAGTGATGTTCCCTAAGGCTCACATGAAAGCACAGAACTGAGGGCTGGAAGGTGTGGGAAGTCCTGACTGCAGGGTGCTTGAGGAATTTGCCACCTAGGTGGCATAGTGGGATGAGTATATCCTCACTGCAAATAAAATTTATGTCCTTGGTTTCTCTGTGTGTGTCTCAAGCTTCTGGGCTCCAGTGTTGCATCAGTCCATCTCTTCCTTGAAGGGTTTCATTTCCGGAAGTCAGCCTCTCAACACTTCCTGTTCATGTGTTGCCAAAATCCACAGGCAGAGAAGTGTGCTGGCTGGTGTGTGCCAGCTCACATCAGTGACAAGGACCAAATCCATGCTGGCCGCAAGCGTGCAAAGAAGCTCCCAGGTGCACACAGAAATTACCTGTTCTCAGAACTTAGAGGTCTGTCAGATGTGCTCAATGGTGAGGTCAGAGCAAGTTTCCCCAACCCTGCCACTATGGACATTTTGGGATGGGTTCTTTGGGAACAGAGAGGCTGGGCTGTGCATTGAGAATGTTAAGGAGCATCTCCAGCCTCTTCCCACTAGAGACCAGTAGTGGTATTAGTTCCCTCTGTTGCAAAAACCCAAATGAGTGGACATTTCCAAATGTCCTCTGAGGGGCGAATGTGTCCCTGCTGAGAACAGCTGGTGTGGATATAGCCAATGACCCAGGCCATTGAAGTTAATGGTGTGTTGAGAGGATGTGAAGAAATTGCTAATCTAATGAAAAAGTACACATTCTCATGCATTACCTTAATTCAGGGGTCTGTCGGAGATGAATGTATTTCTCCTTCCTGGGGACATTTAGCAGTGACGATGTCAATGAAAAATATGACCTCCATATCTCCATAGTATCAAATACTGTGTTATGGTTACTTAGCTGGATAGATGCAGGTGATGAGAGAGTCAGGAAACTTGGATCACAAACGTAAAGTAGAAATTATGAAACCTGGAATAGATTATGAAAAATCAATAGAAAAATGATATAGATGTTGTAAGAGGCAAGGAAGATAAAGTGAGAAGGCCCAATGAATATTTCATGGAATTTCAGTGAAATAAAAATAGACTGTGAGAAGGTAATGAAGGAAGTGGGGTTAAGTTTTTCCAGAATTACTGAAAGATATAAATCCTTAAATTGAGAAAAAACAGTAAGTCTTCAGTAGGCTAAATAAAAATAGATCCATACATAGATATATATGAAAGCATAGGTATCTTCAGGTATAAAGTGAAGTTGTTTGAGGAAACCAGAGGGCAAACAACAGATTAATGATAAAGGATCTACAGTTAGACTGGCAGAGTGTAGACTTTTCAACAAGAACAAACAAAAACAGTTAAAATGTCTTCAAAGGGATGAACATAATGGTCAACTGGTAAGCCACTGCTCACGAATGAGAACAACATAAAGGCAGCTTCAGGTAAAGGACTGTCAAAAGGACACAGTTCGGAAAGGAAGAAAATGTGCTTATTATGTGTTCTATGTAAGAGTTGAAGCTAGGTGAAGCCTGATCAGGGCTAAAGCTTGCTCATGTGGTTTTTTTCCTGAATCATTAACTTCAGCTTTTAAGCCAGTATGGTAAAAATGTAAGACTAATTTGTAAACAGAATGAGAATGAAATTGAAGTGGGAGCATGAAAAAGGAAGAAAGGAAATATGTTATTTTTCAATGTCAGTATGACTATATAAGAAATCCGAGAGATTACTCATGGCTCCATTTTAAAGAATTTTCTAAAAAAAGGATAGCAAAGTGATAATAGAGGGGAGTGAGCACACACAGGCACTAGGGGAGACTTGGGGGTGATGGCCAGGTTCTGTAGCTGGAGGGAGTGTTCATTGTCCCACAATTATACAATTTACTAAAACGCTTCAAAGCACGTACCCTAAGTCAGATAAATTTTATAGTTTGGCTTATGCCTTCTGACTATCATTTTTGCCTCCTTTTTGTAAAGAGGTTTTTGTTTTGTAATAGAGTTTACGGCTAGAATTTTGAATGCCAAAGTTCTACTTATTAAACTAAGAAAGAGTTTTCAATGTTAATGCCTAGTGTTTTTTCACTGGACTATTGTTTGTTGATATTGAAATTTATATTTACAGAGCAATACATTTTTTATGTAAAGAAAAAGAATGACAGTAATGCCTCCGTTTACAAATGCTTCTAGTCATGACCAATTCAGTTCCTGAACAAAAGTGTTGGGCAAAATTTTTGCTTCTTTTCTTGAACTCTGCATTGGTTGATGAACACAGCCACAGCCGTCTTTCCCAGAATCATGGAATGAATTAAATTCATGAATGGAGGTACCACAGTATACTGCAATAAGGAAATTTAGAAAGAAAATTCTCCATTCCTATACATCAGTCACAACCTTTTTTTCAGTTCTGGGGATTCATCTGGGGCTAGGGAAGCACTCTGCTACTGAAGCATATTCCCAACCCCAAACTTTTTTGTGTGTGCTTAGAGTATTTTTTAAGGCATCACAAATTACATATCCAGTGGTAGAATATTTAGTTGTTTAAAGGAGAAGCCTTTAAAGAAACACTGTTGTACATTACGATACAGCAGATCTAATGGATTTGCAAAAAAAAAAAAGAACCTAAAAGGAGGGGGATCTCACAGAAACCATGTATTAAGTAATTGCTGGATGATTTTTTTTTTTTTTTTTATGGTTTTTCCCTTTCTTGTGGTTTCCGTACTACCATCCTCAATCGCGCCCTCTCCTTGCTGTCAGGTGAAAACTGTGTGGTCCATGTTGTTGATTTCCACTTGGGAAATACCCCCAATATTAGCAATGAAGAGCAATAAAATATGAAGTTTGTCTTTTTAAAAACATTCGCAATGTTGTGAATCTAAAACATCAAGCACACACTAGCTGCAAATTCAATTAAGAACTTTTTTGCAGGGGCTGGGGATTTAGCTCAGCGGCAAAATCGCCTGCCTGGCAAGCGCAAGGTCGTGAGTTCAGTTCCCGGTACCGGAGAAAAACCAAAAAAAAAAAAAAAAAAAAAAAAAAAAAAGAACTTTTTTGCATGTGTCAAAGATGCACTGAAAACACACCGAAGGTGTTTTTTTCCTGAGCAGAATGCAAATACTATTTTATATCCAACTAAGCTTTGAATCCCCAAAATATAAAATACCAAAGCTTTTCCACATCACGTAGAAATCAGGAATGTATACCTTCACATAAAAAAATACACATACATACAAAAAAAATTCAAGGTGAGATTCAACAGTCATAATGTAAAAGCTGGACTGACTGGCCAAAATTATAATTGGCTAGTTTGATGAATCTCAGTAAACTTCAATTTAAAATAACAAAAAGCACTGTTTACCAACAATAAGTATAACAGTAATACTGTTCATATCATCCAATTTGAAACATGTAACCCGTGCCAAAACAAAGTACACTGAATAAAGGAATAAAACAGGCAATCTTTATAGGAATCAAGAGAATACCAAGGACTTTAAAAAACCTTAAAGCAGTAGCATCTTCTATATATGATGGTAAAAAAGAAAACTATAATTGAAAGCTATAATTAAAGACAGTTTTGACTATCAGCATAAAGAATAGGAAATTTTGGACTATATCTCTAAAAGACCTAAGTTATCACCAAAATACACATTTCTTGAGATAAGGGGCAAAGTTCCCATTTATGGAAAATATGTTCTTTTTTTTTAACACAGTGAAACAGAAAAATTACACCAAGCAAGAAATCTTTTTCTCTAAGTAATCTTAAATACCCCCAATAATGTAAATCTTAGTAAATAAAAATTTTCAACTCAGAGTTGAAAGAGGTTATTATTAAACATACTCAAATCTTACTGCTTGGCACCAAATTTTCAAAAATTAAACAATTGTTTAAACTAAATGTTCTTAAATCGTATTTGAAACTATATCTGCTTTTTTATTTTCTGAATGAAAATGTTCAGTGACAGTTTAGACTGAACTATGTTGTACATTATGACCAATCAGCTCTGATAAACCGTCCACTCAGTCCTGTCTGCTCTGTGACATCTACCTTTGCAATGTTAACCTCAAGATCACCCCGCTGAGCAAAACCTTGCCCCTTCTGGTTGGAGATGTCGACAAGCAGGACACCATGGAGCATAAAATTCTACCCTTCTACCATTCTACCACTGTCCTTCAGCAGCTCTCTCTAGTTCTTGTAGGGGAGGATGTGCACATCGCCCTGTCTCCCATGGGTCCAGAGAGTCCCCAAAGCAGCAGCCCCAGAACAGTGAGGGGACCCATGAGACTCCCGGAGGGCACCATGGTGGCTGCTCCCAAACTTTTAAAACATTTAACATTTAAGGGAGAATATAAATCTTATTTATTTAAACTCATGAAAGACAGCTGATAGAGGTATAGAGTTGCGCATCACTGAAACGAGCCTGTGTTATAAATTTAGTGATTTCCCTCCACTTACTCCAAATCCAAGTAAAACCTCATAGGAATTTCATGCTCATTTAGGGGCTGTTAGTTGCTGTGATAAATGGTAAAACAGCCATGATTTCACATAATACAGGTTTTATTGTTTGTTAAGCTATGTTTTCTTTGGAATATTTGCTGTTTTTTATAATATCAAAGTGTTCAGCAAAAAGTTATTCTTAAAAGTAACCAGCAGCATATGAAGCTTACAGTTGCCCTATAACCTCATCAGCACTTGCAATGTCAGTATTATTTTCTGTGGTATAAATGAAGGTGTAGAGCATGGTTATTATTGTAGGTCTTCTAGTAAGTGCACACTGATACCTCAGTGTCCAGGTAAATTGCATAGGCATATCCAAGCCCTTCTCCTCTCCCCACCAGGACCCCAGTAAATAGAGAAAATAGATCACAAATCTGTTGCTAATCCTTTCAGTCCCATTCACATTTTGAATTAACAAAGGACTTGAGGATTCATGGAAACTAAATTTGAGTCTCACCAACAAGGATGTTCTAACTGAGACCCTGTCTTTTCAAATGGGTGTTTGGTGTTTTTAAATACAAGTGTTTGAAGCTTCCAGCTTTTCCAAGTTTTCCCAGTCAGGTGCTGCTGCTGTGAAGTCTCTCTGCCTTCACTGAATGTCTCTAAAAATCGTGTTTCTTAAAATGCTTTAATTTTTTGCTATTTTTTCCTGTGCACAGATAATTCAATTTAGATATCAATT